TGCCCACTCTATGATGGCCAGTATAATCAACCTATGGGGTGCCAGGATGGCTCAGTCAGTTGAGCGTCTGACCTCAGCTCAGGTCATGATCTCGCGGTTCATGAGTTCGAGACCCGCATCAGGCTCTGTGCTGACAGCTCAGAGCCTGGAGCCTGCTTCAGATTCTGTCTCCCTCTCTCTTTCTGCCTCTCCCCCACTCATACTGTCTCTCTCTGTCTCTCAAAAATAAATAAACATTAAAAAATTTTTTTTAAATATATAATCAACTTATTACCATTCAGCTGAGGAATGGAGGCACCAACCCAATTAGTCACTGGATTTTCATGTAGGTCTCAGCTGTTGGTAGACTAGGCACTACTCAGTAGTAGCATTAGCCAGATCAGCCTTGGTATGGAGAAATTCAGCTTGTTGAGCTCAGGCCTAGTCTCCATTCTGGCCACCATAACTACTTTTTTTTTTACCCATGGGCCCAATGAGCAAGCACTGGGATGAAAGGTTACCTGACCTCCACAGAGTATGTCATTTTGCCCAGCTGATTACTAGGAGCCTCTTCTGCCGTCAGTGCTTACAGTGAACATTTACACAGATATCTTTATAATCTGGGCCTATTCAGAAGGGATTCAGAATATTAACTGAGAAAAAGAAAATAGAGAAGAGCTTGGTAGTGAGGTGATAGTGAGAGATTATAAACTGAGTTATGCTGAGTTTGAATTCCTGCAGGGCTTTCAAGTACAAAGGGGGCATTTCTGGAACTCAGAGATTCTGAGATAGAGAAATTTGGCTGTCAATGATGTAGCAGGAATAGTGGAAACCACAGATGGGGGTGAAAATACTCAGAGACAGTGCTAAATCTCAAAAGTTTGAGGGCAGAGCTCTGCAGAACCACCGTAGCATGGTGTTAAAAGAGAAGCACTCAGAGAAGACAGCAAAGGGCAGGCTGAGTGCAGAAAACTTGGGGAGAGAGCAACACCACGAAGGCAGAGGAGGAAACGCTTCTAAAAGTGGGAGTCCTCAACAATTGTTCCTTAGTAAGGAGAAATAAGAAAGGCACAGGCAGAAAAATTGCATCAGACTTGGCAAACTAAGAGACCACTTGTATCAGTGAAGAAAATAGCTCCAGGGCAGTGGTGGAAGCAGAAGACAGATTCGTGGAAAGGTTCGCAAACGAATACAGGGCAGGGAAGCCTAGTCAGTGCATGCTATCTATTCATTCAAAATAATAGGCTATGAAATGAAGTAGAAAAGAACTCTATAGAGCATTTCTATATTCATGTTTAAAAGGGAACAGAGGATTTTGAGTTTTTAAGATGAGAAAGCTTGAACATCTTATAAAACATAAGGGAAATCACATCCATGAAAAGGAAGATTGCAGGATAAGGAGAGGTGAGTTCATTGCTAAGCAATATCCCAGAAGAAGGGATGGAGTCAGTGACTCAATCTCTAAGAAAGGGGTGAGGATAGGATGGAATGGAGAAAAAAACAGAAGTAGATGTGAAGGAAGTAAAGAAGGAAGTTAAACTGGAGACCTTCCCCCAATTTCCAGATTACAAAGCAAAATATTCCAATGACTGGAAAGTCTGAGTCAGTAGGCAGGATTGAAGAGAATCTATGGTATTGAAAGAGGGGCACCTTGGTGGCTCAGTCCTTAAGCTTCCGACTTGGCTCAGGTCTTGATCTCACGGTTCATGGGTTCAAGCCCTGCGTTGGGTTCTGTGCTGACAGCTCAGAGCCTGGAGCCTGCTTTGGATTCTGTGTCTCCTCTCTCTCTGCCTCTCCCCCACTTGTGCTCTGTCTCTCGTAAAAATAAATAAACATTAAATATATAAATACAGATATAGATATATAGATATATAGTATTGAAAGAGCAGTAGTGGGAAAGAGAGAGGGAAAGAAACAGAAAAATCTACTCTGATCGCTTAGTCAAATTTCACTTCCATATCGAAGTCTTCTCTGCCCCTTCCCCCGAAGGTAAGCACAATATTAATAACATTTATATAGCAATTAAAAGAAGTTTCTTTCTAAAACCCTTATTCCATAGCTTTTAAATGGCACTTGTCATTTCCTACATTTGCTATGTAGGTGTTTCATCTCTTCATGCAAGTCTTTCAAGAATGAATTTGTGACTCTTTTAAAAAAAACCCTGGGGCGCCTGGGTGGCTCAGTTGGTTGAGCGTCCAGCTTCGGCTCAGGTCATGATCTCGCGGTCTGTGAGTTTGAGCCCCGCGTCGGGCTCTGTGCTGACGGCTCAGAGCCTGGAGCCTGCTTCGAATTCTGTCTCCCTCTCTCTCTGCTCCTCCCCCACTCATGCTCTGTCTCTTTCTTCCAAAATAAATAAAAACATTAAAAAAAAAAAAAAGAACCTCTTTGTATCCCTCAAAGCATCTGCTAGAGTGGGTAATGCATTAACACGGTGTTTCGGTAACAATCCTTGTATAACAAACCACACTAAACTCAATGGAAGAAAATAATTTTTTCTCAAATTATTATCTCATAGCTCTGGTGGTCAACTAGGAAGCTGTCACTTAGGGTCTCTTCAGTGGTTGCAGTCAGGAAACATCTATGTAGGCTCTGTCCCTTGTATCTCCAGAGCTTGATGTTGGCTACCAACTGGGACCTAACTGGGGCTGTCAGCCAGAATACACATACATGGCTTCTCTGTGTGGCCTGGGCTTCCTCAGGGGATGATGGCTAGGTTCCAACAGCAGGCGTCTTGAGAAAAAGAATCAGGAAGATGCTAGATCACCTTTTATGACCTAGCTTTGGAAGTCATGCAGTATTATCCTGCCACATTCTACTCATTAGGATGAATCACTAAGACTAGCCCATATTCAGGGCAGGGGAGTTTAGTTAGACTCCACCTCTTGAGGAAGGAGTGTCAAAGAATTTGCAGGATACTACATACAATAGGTGCTACTTAGATGCCTGTTTAATCATTAAACATTTTGAAAAAGGCTCAGAAGGAAAAAAAAAAAAAAGACTGAGAGTGGTGCAGTCTTAAAAGGTCTGACTAGAAGTCAATAATAATGCTGAAAAGGCAATGAACCCATAAATTATGCCACCCATGGCTGTTTGTTTTACAAGTATTTGCTGTCTTTTACAATCTCCTTGTAGGATAGAGTTGGGTGTTTAGTCTACGAAGATAAAGTAAATCAGTGCTTCTCCCACTTTCATGGTATGCAAATTTCTTGGGGATTTTGCAGATTTGGGTTCAGTGGGTCTGAGGTGGGCCCTGACTGACATTCTACATTTTTTTAAATGTTTATTTATTTATTTTTGAGAGAGAGAGAATGAGAATGCAAGCAGGAGAGGGGCAGAGAGAAAGGGAGAGAGCGAATCCCAAGAGGACTTTGGGCTGTCAGCCCAGAGGCCAACATGGGGCTCAAACTCAGGAACTGTGAAATCCATGACCTGAGCCAAAATCAAGAGTCAGATCCTTAACTGACTGAACCACCCAGGTGCCCTGGACATTCCACATTTCTAAAGGAGATGCGTGGTGATGCTGTAGCTCTGTGGACCACGCATGAATAGCAAACTAGTTGAAAGCAGTAAGGGTGACTAAGTGGCTCCTGTGATGTCTCCCTTCTCTGGCCCTAACAGACAGGGATAAGCCACCACAGGTCCTTATGTGCTTACAGGACCCTGACCTTCTGGCCAAGTGAACCCTTGATACCAGCAAGGTTAATCTGTTCTCTCACAAGACTTTTTATAACTAGAAATAAAGGAACAGAGTAATTTTCCTCTCTTTTGTGGTGAAGCACAGGATACAAGGCTCTGGTGTTACCAGTCATGTGAAAAAGCCAGTCTCCGGGAGGGATAAGGAAATGCAGAGAAGAATATCCAGGTGCCATTCCAGTCCCTGGTGAGGCTCAGTCCAGAAACCCCTCCAAGATTTGCAAGATATTCTAATGTCCCTCCAATAAATTCCCTTCTTGGTCTAAATTTGTTCTGGTTGGGTTTCTAACATTTGAAACTTAAAACATCCAAACTAACATGAGATGGGGGAGAAGAGGAAATGGAAATGCAGTACCCACTGTGGTTGAAGAACAAAGGGAAATTTCAGACTGGATTATTATCCAGACATCCAGGGCTTGGGGTGAGGATAGACTGTCCATTAAATCATGCTAAAGGTGTCTTTCTTTTTCCTTCCTCCCTCCCTCCCTTCCTTCCTTCCTTCCTATGTTTATTTATTTATTTTGAGACAGAGAGTGCACACAATTGTGTGAGCAGAGAGAGGCAGAGAGAGAGAGAGAGAGAGAGAGAGAGAGAGAGAGAGAGAGAGAATCCCAAGCAGGCTCCATGCCGTCAGCAGGAGGCCTGACATGGGGCTCAATCTCACAAACCATGAGATCATAACCTGAGTCAAAATCTAGAGTCAGACGTTTAACCAGCTGAGCCACCTAGGTGCCCCTACTTTTAAAAAATGTATTTAAGTAAACTCTATACTCCATGTGGGGCTCAAACTCATAACCCCCAGATCAAGAGTCACATGCTCTTTGACTGAGCCAGGCAGGTGCCCCGCTAGAGATGTATTCCTAACAAAGTGGACAGACCATAGAGAGAGTTAAACACAAGTAAAAAGTAAGGCTCAGGGAAGAGAAGGGAACAGGTCAGTCTAGGCGTACCATGGCCAATGTTCTTTAGAGTGACCTCTGGGCTTGAGTGAGGGGTAAGAACTAAGTGGAAGTTAAGAGCTAGGTAGCCTCCTGACCAGCACAGAGAGGGTGAAATTCTCCTGTGTTTGGCATTGTATGATGTGTTTCACATTTATGACCTTACTTAATGACTCTTGGGAAAGTGTCCTACATTGCTCCCGCCAGCTGTCCCTGAAACTAGCACAGTCAGTGTATCAGATGAACAGGAGTCACATCACGTGAGCCCCACCCGCTCGACCCTAGGACTGGGTATTCCACGGGCAAGTCTGGAATTCCTCTGGGGTCTCTGAGGCTGCAGGCAGCCCAGATGAAACAGTAAGCACTTCTGTATGACAGTCACCACCTTTCGATGTTGCAAGTAAGTGAATTTTTAATTTTTAACCGGTGTCTTGGTCACACCTTCATCTACATCAATCCCATATTCAAGGTCTACACAGTTAAAATAAACCAAATACTTTATAGCACAGTTCCAAAACCAAAACATTTCTGCATTAAGAAAAAAAAAAAAAAAAAGACTAGTTGCTACCAAGGGGTACTGACCACCAATTGAAAGACTTTCATATTTACACAGCAAGTGCATGTGCAGACAGGGCAGGCAGCAATAGAAGGGCGACACCGGAGAGCACTTTCCTTGTGGCAAAGGCCGGCAGGAAAAGGATGAAGTAATGAGGCTGATTTCATAAAGCCAAAATGGATGCTGATCTCATTATTTTATAGCCATACCTTGTGGTATGTTTATAAAATATTTCTTTCACAAGTTAAAAGAGAATCTGCTACAGATGGATTTAATTTTGGTAAAATCAATGGAAAAAGTTCTATGTTAATGCAACATTTGTTGTAAAGATTCCAGAAACACACGAGTCAAAATTTCAAATTATGATTCCCACAGTAACTGTAACTCTGCTATGCAACATACATAATGGAAGAAATGTTATCAACATATACCATAGGAGAAAGTACTCAGTAAGCAGAAACAAGCTGAGTTATGCCTGTTGTGGGAATCATCATTTCCAACTAGCTGAGGATATATAAAAATTGAAACCATAAATGCATGCATTATTTTATGTATTTAATTCCAATTTTTCTTGATCCAATTTAATCAGCTTTGCATCCAAACTACATTTCCCTTTCATAAACTGCAAATGAATGTCTTTCATAATTTTAAAATCCACATCATTTGGTTTCTTTTTCTCACGCAGGCTGCCTTTGCAGAATGGCATCATCATATCCTGTCCCTCCCCTAAAAGGTCAGGCCATGTCTGCTGGGACCCATTTACCTACATTTCCTTTTCTCCCTGAAGACACCAGGGACAGGGGAAAAAAAAAATACCAAAGAGAACAAGATCACATTAAGTAACTTAGACAGGTAAATAAGTTCAACAGAAAGAGGGACGGTGGCATCATTAACTTCCCTGCTGGCATCTTCTGAGCACAAATAAAGAAAACAGTACCACCACATATTTACAGTTTCAGAAGTGTTTAGTCATAACATTATCTCATCTGATTCTCACAACAACACTGTAAGAAAGACAAAAAGAAAACTCCTTTCGGTTGTTCAGCTCTTTGTGACTCCAGCAGAATATATTTAAGGATGTGCTTTTATGGTATAATTTAAAGTCTGGACTATTTAATTGCACTTACGATATTACCCACTTACCACATGCAGAGGATTTACTTATTATTGAAAGCAGAATATACTTTATGTAAAAAGATTATGGTTACGAGCTAAACATTTAACAGTTTAAGCTTTCTGCTTTAACTGTATTCTGAACATTCAATAATGAAACAGAAAGAAATAACTGCCCTTAGAAACTCTGCCTGGGCAAAATTAATCCTGTATATTATATCCAGTATTACATTTTCCAGTTTGGTTTTAACTAAGAAGGGCACCTTCTACTGCCTCTAAAGAGGAAGGCTGTTACTTCCCAGCGGTCTGTACCATTGGGGTAGGTTTCATTATATTCAAACTCAATTACTTTGACTCAAGATCAGTCATATTTCCTTTTGACGCGAAGCAGCTTGGTCCCACCAAGTGTTCAAGACCTTGCGTAAGTGTTTGCAGGGTGCCATGGTCAACCTTTTCTCTCTCTCTGCTACTGTGATCTGGCTAGTCTAGTGTAAGTTTGTTTTTCCCCCTCCCTATGGACAAAAGGATACCTCTCCATTTATTCAGATACAAATTCTCCCTCTTCATTTACCTAGTACACCAATAAAAAGACCAATTAAAATGAAGGTTCAGAGCAAAGCAAATGCCTCATTACTAAGCAAAAAACCTTAATATAATTTGTTCTAACCTGAGAGGTAACAGTGTATCCTTTGCCTGTGAAAAGTATGACCATTTTGCATGTAACTAAAGTGTAATATTTTAAGTGTTAAAAGGAAAGCAAATCCTAAGGAATATTAATTTTAGGAGGTTTCACTGTGGGGAAAGAGTTCTTTTTAATGTTACCTATAATTATAAACAAGATCTTTGCAATTAATAAAGATAAAGATCTGGGTAAAAGAGATGAAATACAAGAAGGTATCCTGTGGGACACGAATACTTAACTTTCATGGTTTTTACTCCCCATATGCAAAAAAATAGTATCTGCGGCTGATGGCAAAACACAATCTCAAAACTATTTCCAGTTATGAGACAGGAAGATGACTTGTAAGCTAAAAAATCAGTGATGAAGATATGAGCTCTTGCATCTTCACCGAGATCAGAAAAGGGCTCTTCTCTGCCTTTTATGATGCATCAGTCAGACATGAAGGCAGGGAAGGAAGTGTGAATTTTTCATACCGTCCATCCACTCTATGGGATCATCTCAGAAAAAGTATAGAAAGAGACAGTGGGCAAGGTTTCCCTTAAACAGAACTGAAACAATGTCTCTTTCAATATGGAAACTGGGGGGAGGTAATCAATTGTAGAGTATCACAGAATGGTTAGAAATGAGAAATGATGGGGTTTGTTTCTTTTGAGCAGTCAGTAATATGAAATTCTCAAAGGTCTTAAATTTTCCAGATAAACTGACAGCAAATAAGGTCCCCCAAACTATCAGTACCATAAATGAAGGAACTAATGTTTTTATATTGACTTATAATGAAAGCTTCAGAATTCCATGAATGCTGAGAGTAAAATATTAATGTGGTAAAGAATGAACCAAAGGAAGATTTTGGGAACAAAGTAAGTGGTCCAAAAACAGAAGAACATTAAAAATCTTACTGTACATTCATAGAATGGATACTGTGCAACCATTCACAATGTGTTCTGAAGAACTTTTAAGGGTTGATAACAAATTGTAAAATGAAAAGTAAAGTTACAGAATGATATATTCTATATGATCTCTAATTGGGAAAAAAATATGTATATAGAAAAAAAAGACTAGGAGAACAACACAAAAATACTGACAGAAGCTTACATCTGCTAATGAGAATGTTATGTCTTCACATTTTTTTTTTTTCTTTTCCAAGTGGAAAGGGAGTAAGATTAGGGGACATTTTTATTTGCAAAAGCAGCTGTTAAGTATACTCTGGTCTCTCTGTCCCATCTTTTTAATAACATGCACAACAAAAAAAGTATATTTAGAAGTTGCATTAACAATTATTTTTCTCTAAGTTATCAAATCAGTAGTTCATTCAACTTCAGTTTCCCTATACTTTTTAACCAATTCACACAAGAACAACGTATTTTTAAAAAATATAATGGCATAAAATCTTATCGACGGTGGTAGTCTTCATGCAGTCTTCTTCATACATCACATCTAGAAAATGAACTTCATATGCTTGATTCCATAAGTTTTGAAGAAAACCATTATAATGAGTGCCCACAATCCCAGAATAAAACCCCCAGGAGGATGCCAATCTTTCAGCTTTGGTTTCTGCAAAACAAAGATGACAGGGTAAATTTAACAACGATGTGTAAAGCAAATACTGGTGGAAAACAGAAATTTCATAGGTTGTGTTTTAAGAGGGAGTAAGTTAGCCAAATTAAATGTATTAGGATAGCAACAGTGATAAAGAATTCTAACTGGGTAAATATTTCAAACTGGTTCTTACAAAGATCAGTTTCAAATGACATTTTGTGCCTTCAAAGAGACTTCACTGGCCACCCTACCCAGCCATCTCTCTTCACCCAAGCTATTTGGTGGCCTAACAGTCCTTCTCATTTCAAATTTATATATCCATTAGTTTGTTGGTTTTATCTGTTTCTCCTATTAGATGATAGCTCTATGAGGGTCATGTTGCTCATATTCCTAGCACCTACCTGCCATAATGCCTGGCATGTAGAAAACGTATATATATTATACTGATTAAATCAGTGGAAAAACAAATGCCACTCAATTCCATTTGTTCTGATATTCAACAAATACTTATCTGGGGTCTAATACCTTTAGTTAGATTATGCCCTTGAGACAGAATGCTCTTTACCTCATTCTGCCTGTTTGAAACTGACTAACTGAAATGCCAACTCCTCCAGATTTTCCCACCTGATATATTCTTTTCTTTGAATCTATAGTTCTTTCTACACTTACTTCTATTTAGTAATATAATTATCTTTATCGCTTATCTCCTTGCAAACTTCCAGGGGGCAAAATCTGGCTTAGTCCATTTTATATCTCCTTGCCAATTCCTCCACCTCTCAACACCCAACCAAGTGTCTTGTATATTTCTTTGTCCAGCAAGAAAGGGGAGACCAGTCTTCCCCATTTAGTTGTCATTTCAACAGCTACATTATGTTCCTGAAATTGGAAGTCTGTGACTATGATCTTTTTATGAGTTTTACTTCCTGAACTACTAGCCAATATTATAATGATAGTCATGATATGAGAATCATATGACATGAGGGTCATATTTTATAGTAGAATAGAGTGAAGAGAAATTGTAGTCTGAAATTTTAATTTGTTCTAGTCACCATGTAAACTAGCCAAGGAAGGCTCATAAATCTCTTAGAGGTATCTGCATCTCACAGTTTGGTTTCCCATACATAACCAAGACTCCTAATGCTCTTCACTCAATCCTAAACTCAACATGTTACAAAAGGAAAGGAGGGAGGCAGGGAAGGAAGGAAGGAAGGAAGGAAGGAAGGAAGGAAGGAAGGAAGGCAGGCAGGCAAACTCAAAAATAAAACAAGTCAAATCAAGCAGAATTAACCAGTAAAGCCATGCCAGTAATATGCTGCCACATTCTATAGTAACTTATGTTTATTATCTATGCCCTAAAATACCTGATAGTTGCCTAATGTATACATTATAAACCCATTAAAAGAATTCAAAAGAATATTTTGATACAATGAAATTTTCTTTTTCGTTTGATTTTATAAATGGAGAAGTTACCTATGGAAATGCCTGGTTTTCAATTAGGTGATCTTTCTGAAACTTCTTCCTTCTCTTCTGAAGTTCTCTTCCCTTAGCTTCAAGGACACTCTCACCAGGTTTTTATTCTACTTCTCTAACCATTCCTTTTCAGTCTTCTTTGCTCCTTAAATTCTAGTGTTCTCTAGAGGTCTGCCTTTAGCCATTTATTCTCTCCCTTTATATAATTTCCCTGGGTGACACCTGTACCGTGGTTTTGACCTCTGCCAGCAGGCTTATGATTCACAAATTGATATCACTAACATAGAACTCTATGCTAAACGCTATGTTCACGTACAATTAACAGATATCTTTAGTTGGATATTCTCAAGGATCACAAACTTTACCATAGCTAAGAGCAAATTCATTCCTGAGTCCTTCACCCAGCTCTGTTTTCCTTCCCTGTTTTCCACCTCTCCATCCACACGAAGGGCATCACCATGTTGCCCAAGTGATAAAGCTAAAAGTCCTTCCTAGCTCCCCTATCTCGCAGACCTTCCCATTTCCATGAGTTACTAATTCTTATAGGTTTTATCCCCATCATATTTGTCCTTTATAAGTCTTCTATTACCACTGCCACTACCTTAGTTCTAGCTCCTATCATTTCTTGTCAGGATCATTGAAATGGTGTCCTAACAGTTTCTCTTCCTCCAAGATGTCCACCTCTTTTCCATCTATCTATTGCTGCTAGACACATCTTCCTAAAATACAAATATATATTTGTATAATATGTGTGTGTATATATGTGTGTGTGTGTGTGTGTGTGTGTGTGTAAGCCTCACATGCATGCGTATAAGTATTGTTTGTTTTAGGCACACATTACTTTTGTAATTTAAAAAATTAAATAATTTAAAAATGAGGGCTCGGTGTGGTGTGGTTCAAAGAGCATGGGATTTAGAATTAACTGCTTTGGATTCAAAGTTTACTTTTAACACTTAAAGCCTACGTTGCCTTTCAAGCCACTTCTCCACTCTGAATTTCTGAATCTACAAAATGGACATGGTAACAAGGACCTCCTAGGAATGAATGAATGCACAATTACTGCAATGATGTGTTTTCTGAACATTTACTCCATAACTACTCGTTCCTACCTAGAAAAGTGATATGAAACTCAAAGTACTTTTAAGGTAACTTTCTTTTGTGTTTGTTATGAGGAACGCTGTTTGAATCAATCTAATTTTTGTTATTTTAGTTTGTACAAATTTCAATTCAAAATTAACTTGTTAAACTAATAGGAGAAATTCACCGTAATATTTTCATCTGGATGATAATGCTAGAGTTTTAATCAACGCCTAATATAAACACAACTGACAATATTGTTTACAGTGGTTATATGCTACATTCACTCTACGTCTACTCCTACTCCCAACCCACACTCCTTCCAGAAAACTTCCCAAACACAAAAATATTATAATCCAATTTTTCCTCATGTTACTTTCTACTCAAAACTCTGCAACGGTTCTGATCATATGTGAGATGATGATGAAGACAGACGTTCTTTCCCTCTAGTATCTTACAAGATGGTTAAGTCCATTGGTTCTCAAACCATTTCAGATGGCAGAGCTTTTGGAAGTCATGGTGTTCTTTGTGAAACACTATGAAAAGTCTTAATTTAATTCCAGTAGAAAATCTAGATTAGTATAAAGCATAGCTATATTAAAGATAGGTAATACAAATATCACAAGCATGTGACAATGAAAAACAAATGACTGAACTAAACATGATTGACTATGCTTGGTTTTTGTCATGTTTATTTTCTATTAGTCAAATAATTGGTAGGGGTGCCTGGGTGGCTCAGTCGGTTAAGCGTCCGACTTCAGCTCAGGTCACGATCTCACAGACTGTGAGTTCGAGCCCCGCGTCGGGCTCTGGGCTGATGGCTCAGAGCCTGGAGCCTGCTTCTGATTCTGTGTCTCCCTCTCTCTCTGCCCCTCCCCCATTCATGCTCTGTCTCTCTCTGTCCCCAAAATAAATAAACGTTAAAAAAAAATTAAAAAAAAAACAACAACCAAATAATTGGTAATCCACACCTCAAGGGTTGAAAACACTAAACCAAAAATTATTTTTCTGTAAATTGGGACAAGAGTATCATTATTAGTTATTAGTGGAAGTACATCTTTATTAAACAGTTTGCAAATGTTCCCTGGAAATTCCGTTGAAGAGCACTGACCTAGTTGGGGAGATAAGATTCACATTTTTCCTGATAACTAGGAGTCTCTGATTTATACGGTATTTATATTTTTAAATTTTTTTAAAGTTTACTTATTTTTGAGATTTTAGAAAGTGAGAGCACGAGCAGGGGAGGGGCAGAGAGAGAGGGAGGCAGAGAATCCCAAGCAGGCTCTGCACTGTCAGCATGAAGCCTGATGAGGGGCTCAAACTCATGAACCATGAGATCATGACCTAAACTGAAACCAAGAGTCAGATGCTTAACTGACTGAGCCACCAGGCACCCTATATGGTATTTACACACACACACACACACACACACACACACACACACACACACACACAC